GCTGTGAAATTCTTGGATTTCTCAGCACAACTTTTTCTCGTGATACCAGTAGCTTTAGGAGACAGGAAAAATATTAAAATTAAGAGCAGTAAGTGTTTTAACTTCGTAAACTGGGATTTTCAGCTTATACTTAGTGCTAGAAAAGGCAACAGGAGCAAGCCAAAGAGCAAGTACCTCAGTTACTACTCAGAAAATATACTAAGAGCATATTAAAAATAAAAAAAAAAAAAAAAGAGAGTGAGATTTTAATCTACAAGGAAAACATGCACAAATTATGTACCTAAATCCACTTTAACTACTGATTAACAAGACGCTTCATCCACAATTGCCTCTCTCCTGGAGGGGTAATTTCCTCTGAATTCCCACTTTTGTCTTCAAGGATAAAATCCTTTTCCCTTCAGCAAACCTTTCTTAGCACTTATGCCAAGAAAAGTGATATTTTCAGACTTCTTTGCTCAATATTCAAAGCAAACCCCCTCATCTCCTAATCTTTGAATTTAAGAAAAGAAAGAGACAGACACCAAAAAGTGCCAGTGTACTTCAAAAGGGAGGAAACAAAAGAAATAATATGACATGAAATTGGTAAAGCAAGACTAGTGCTACACAGCAACTTCAAAAGATTTTTCCCTAATTGAAGTTACTGCAAGTTTTCATCTTTAACTGATTTTTACTGATAAGCAGCTAGCCTGAAAGCAAATAGAAAGTATAACAAACATTACAAACAGCTTTCAAGTTTCCCCTAACCCCAGTATCTCAGGATTCCCTTTGTACAAAAGGTAAATGTGGTGGTGTGCTCTGTCTCTGGGAAATTTGTTGGCACAGATCTGCAGTAAAAATGCACACCATGACCACTTTTGTCAAATCATAGCAGAAGAATATATGGCAAGGTAGGAAGGCAAGACAGATTTCTATTACAGATAAGGCAGACATTTTCATTAAATATAAAAAAGACCCCAGAAATTACCTGCCATTTCAAGCCTTAAAATCACAACCAGACCCCGCTTCCAAAAGCTCTTTTACATACTGAGGAAAAATTATACTTTGTATTACACAAGCATGGTACTCTTTCACAACTTTAAAAGACGCTATTTTGCATGCAGGAACAGAACAAAGGTTTCAGATTTTTAAAACATTCTCAAAAGCTTATTTCAGGCTTTTTCATTTACACTTTCTTCATAGGAGACAGAAAAGGGCAAGGAGAGGAAGAAACTCATTAAAAAATCCTCAAGAAGTAATACCAAAAAACTATAAACAATTAAAATTCCTACTTACAAAGCTGAGTGAAAGAATAAGACTCAATTGTGCTGTAGCTGGCTACTAAAATAAAGCTCAATAGGTACAAAGCAGTGTCTTAACTGTATATTTCATCATTTGCATTGTCTTTGCCTCTCTCTTTGATGGCCTCATATAATGTAAGTAGGTTTACAATTCATCGTGACAATGCCCACAGGTACAACATTATTTGTGACCTCTGCTTGTCACTATAAGAATGACTGGTTGATCAGACACTAAGAAGAAACTGAGACTCTTTCTGTTTGAGCTGTATTCCTCCTAATTTGCATTCTTTCTGCCATGACACACACAGAGCACATCAGTTCCCTTTGTCATAACAGTATGCAAGTGTTTCAGAGTATTTCTGTAGACTTGACAGCCTTTAGCAAAGGGAATCTAGCATATTAACATCATACATACACCCATTAGCAAGAAGACCAGTTTCTGAGAAAACCACTTTTAGAGTTTTTCCCATATGGCTTCAAACAGGCACTCAATATACAGAATTGACAGCTCTGTCAAGAATTTTAGATACATAATTTCACTAGTTGCATTCCCACGCATCATTATATTAAGAAATGCTGGCTGAAAGCTATAAAAAACTTCTCCTGCTTGGCAACATAGGACTCTTATCTTTGTCATAATACATATTTTAAGGATACCCTGAATAGTTTTCCAAAACAAGAAAGGTATGAGGCAGTTAGTTGGATCTGCTTTTAACACAGAGATTTGCAAAGAATACTAAAAAACCTACAGTGAACATAATATAGGGGCATAGGGAAGTGGAGAAAAGCGATAGAATTGATGAAAAATCGCTGTAAGAATTCAGAGTGAACCCTACTAAAAGTCTATCTCTTCTATGCAGAGAGGAGAAAATACATTGTAATCTAATCAATGTGTCCTCATTTCTAAACTGATATATTATCAATCAAAGACTTAAAAACTGGATCAGATTCATATCTGACTATTATCACTGGCCTGTCATTATAGAAGCCAAATTAAGAACGTGTTCAAAGGGAAAAAAAAATACAAATAGCATCATTCTGATTGACTAGGACTGTATTATACAGCAGAAATAATATCATAAAGGGACTGCCATATGAATAAGGACTCAAAGAACCAAATAACACAACAGCAGAATATACATAATTAATAACGTTGTGCAGCTGAAGACTGCCAATAGCTCAGAGAAGAAAAATGAAAAGATGAAGTGGGAAAACTTACAGTGTTAAACTGTTAAATTTTTGTTTAACTCTACAGTTTTTATTCATTTCTCAAGTCAATAACATCCCTATCTATTAAGCAGTGCACACAAAAAAGACATTCATAAAAGAACAGTTTTTCTCATAGAATTAGCGTCCAATATGCCACAGAAAACTCCTCCTTCAGTTTAAAACTGCTGTCCCTTGTCCTGTCACTACATGTCCCAGTAAAAAGTCTCTCTCCATCTTTCCTGTAAGCCCCCTTTTGATTATTGTAACCCCTTTAGAGTACTCAATGGCTACAATAATGTCTCTCTGCAGCCTTCTCTTCTCCGGGCTGAACAATCCTGACTCCCTCAGTCTGTCTTCACAGCAAAAGTGTTTGAGCCCTTGTATGACTTCAATGGCCCTCCCGTGGACCTGTTCCAATAGGTCCATCTCTGTCTTGTGCTGGGGCCCCACAGCTGGATTTAATACTCCAGGTGAGAGGAGCAGAGAGGCAGAATCAACTCCCTCAACCTGCTGGCCACATTTCTTTTTATACAGCCCAGAATACAGCTGGATTTCTGGGCTGCAAGTGTATACGGTTGGCTCACATCAGAATTTTCACTCACCAGCACCTCCAAGTTGTTTTTTTCAGGGCTGCACTCATTACATTCACTTCTCCAGTCTGTGCTGATACCAGGGCACGCTCTGACACAGGAGTGGGACCTTGCACTTGGCATTAAGAACCTTATGAAGTTCACATGGGCCCTCCCCTCAAGCCTCTCAAGGTCCTTTTGGATGACATCCCTTCCCTCTACCCTACCAACTCCACCACTTAGCTTGATGGGATCCACAGTATTGCTGACAGTGACACAATTTCACCACGTCATGACATTAAGTCATGTTGGTCCCATATCCGACCTCTGAGGGGGAGACCTTTATAATAAAGTCACCACAAAATGTATTAATATTCCAGTAAGTCTATTTCATATCCTATTCACATTATTTTCTTCCAAAATATAGCAGAAGTATGTCAGAGACAGATAACCTGAAGGATGAGAAACAGGGAACTTCCATTGAATGAGAGTGAAAAATCTCACACTATGTTGTTTTAAATAAAAACCACACTCTTGTTTAGTATTTCTCACAATGAAAAAGGAGATATACATTAAAATCAAAAGATAATGGATATATTGGTTTTAAAAAACTTCAACACATATCAGTTTTCCCTCAGCTGGTAGAAAATCAGAAATCAGGCAAGTACACGGACTGAAACCTCCAGGTTCAATAAGTAGGATATTTCAAAAGTGAGAAACAATCATCTTTGAGGGTGCAAGACAGCTTCTAAGTCACGATGTGAGGCATAAGTTTCCATCAAAGAGGTTAACTAGAAGATTCCACCCCTATGCTTTTATCCAAGGTGCTGAAGGCAGAGCATCTAACAAATAGATTTTCTGATCCAGTTTCAAAACTCCCATATTCCTGGAATCTGAATCACATACAAAACCACACTTGACCAAAAAAAGGCTCTTTATGAATCCAATATCAACCATACACATAGCATGAACAAATCAGTCTTGAAAAGCCCATGCAAACAAACAAAAGAAATCCAAACATCCCTACCACACATCAATCAAGATTCCTAAGGAAAGCAAATGTCATTCCTACCTTCAAGGGTAAGAAGTAGGACCCCAGAAAATAAAGGTCAGTCAGCCTCACATCAGTCTCTGGCAAGATGATGGAACAACTATTCCTTTTCTATGTTACTAACAAAATCGTAAAGTATTAAAATTAATCTTATCCCAACAAGATATATAGCAATGATAAAAATAAATAAAGAAAAAGCGACTCAGTGTTCCACAATTCTTTCCAAGCATTTGATCTTGGCTGCCACTGATGTGTTCTATACACAATGCCTTATGCATTTGAAGGCTAACTATGAATCAACAAAGGATGTTATTATACTTTCTCATAGTTGTAGACATCTATGCCTAAAGATACAATGAGACTTCACAGCATGTAGCAAGTTTTAATTGGTAACAGGCGCACGGAAAGCAAGATTACCATGCCACATAGAAAAGTATCCCAAAATTGTAACAAGTATCTCACAAAATTCACCATCCAACAAGCTCACAAAATTAACGATGGCAAGAGCTCAGATACAAGTAATGAGAATCAACAGGCTGATGAGCTAAACCACCACAAGTGTTCATGACCCCATTTTACCCTTGCCCTACTGAAGGCCTGTTCATAAAGATCTCCAAAAGTTAAGTTGGTTGCATTACTTTGCATTGCTAATAGTGCATATATAGCGCAGTTACAGCAGCTCAGCTAACATGTCACATCTCTTTACGACAATGGAACTCCACTGTCATGATCACAGTCATCAAGTCCCTAATAAGTACTCTGGCTTCTTACAAATTTTGTATCTTAAACTCCTTGCTTAAAACCAAACCAATACAATTTTATTCTCTCTCAGGAAAACAAAACAAACAAACAACCCTCACCACCACCCAAACAAATAAACAACAAAAACATTACCTTCTGAGGGGTCAAAACCCTCTGCCTGAACTTCTCAATCGTATCTTGACCTGCTGCCGCCCATGCAGTAGCAAATGCTTCAGCTTTGTCTTGATCCAGTTGAATGTTCTGCAGCTGCTGTTGCAATGAAGCAGGTTTCAGATTATGATAGACTGCCTGTTAAGAGGAAAAATAACTGCTGTTGTTGAGTGCTGGTCTACAAGTCACTCCAGGTATGTTCTACCACAGATGGCAACCATGTTCAAACAAGATTTTTACCAGCAGCTCCACTGGGGCACTACAAGCATCCTGTTGTTCTTCTTAACCTTCTAACTGGGAAGACAGAAAAGTACAACTATCTCAAAATGCAACATTACAAACAACTCTTCTCTACATAGACAAACTATGAAAAAATGCACTTATAAGCAAAATCTGAGTATTTGTACAGATTTCCACTGTACATAATGCCAAAGCAGTGATCACTGAAAAAAACCTGGGACCATACAAAAAGGATAAGTTTTCCAAATTCACACTATTCAAGCAAGTCTGAGCTACAAAGTAGTATTTGCTAAAACTGAATGAATAAAACTCCCTGTCAGCATCAATTTTTTGTGTTTCACACTCTGCATAGTATGCTGGTCTCCCTTTTCAAAACAGGACTGTCACCACCAGAAAAAAAAGAAACAGCACATTTGGCAAAGACCATACAGAAGTTCTTTTATCTGTAGTGTGTCCATAGACTGCTATGGACCGCTAAAAAAGTTATGCTCTGACAGAACAAGCAGCTGATCTAAGAAGCACAGCTATTAGCAGGAACACATACACGTGTTCACATACATGAAGTCCATCTGGGACTCTTTTTTTTTTTTTAATGCAAAAGAAGCAAGTCCTAGAGGAGAATAATGGTTTTTTTCTGTTTATCTTCAATGATTCTAATAGAAATTAAGCAGTCTTATGAAATAATGACCAGGCAATAAACAGGCAAGTCTGATATATGGCTGAGATGAAAATTCAGAATTCCATTCTGGAGGTGATCTCAGATTTCCTTTTCATTTTTTTGGTGGGTAGGAGCCATGGGGAAGACTGTTTACTTTCCTTCTAAAGCAGTGGAATGTGTCAACTAAGTGTACTGATCATAAACCGATATGTGTAAGAAAGGACCAGATTCAAATCCCACAACAGACCATCACTATGTGTTCCCTCAGCACAGACTATAGTTTCTATACTTACAGGAAATGGATGCAAAACATCGCGGACGTGACAATTTTTAAGACAGTTACCATATTTACCATATAATACAATGGCTTCCCATGAACCCAATACAGATATAATATACTACAGATATATGTTTCCACTAATTAATTTTTAACTTGACTTTCATATTTTTGAAATCTAAAGTGGAATAGAAAAACATATTTATCAATGCATAAGGATGAAAACAAAATACCTGTTCTAAAATGAAGGATATAGTTTCAAGAACCAGATGAAGATCCTGCTTTTCCAATGAAAAAGCTACTTGAAGTTTTTCTTCCTCCTCTTCACTGAAGGTACTTTCAGCCTGAAGCATAAAAAATGGTTAGTCACAATATCTCATTTAAGGACCAGGAACTTACTTGTTAAAATAAAAACATAATGGCTGTCCACTTGTTTCTAAATGGAAATAGCAAAGTAAAGCTCTTTTCCAACAGAAAAATACAATGCAATTCCTCTACTGAAAATCAAAATTAAAACCCAAGAGTACCACAGGATTACTTGAAATAAGGCAGAAGAAAATGCTTTCTCTTTGCACCTGAGAGACACTAAAGAAATATTCTCCTTTCAGTTACCAGATCCCACCACCTTTTATAAATAAAAATAAGATAAGTACTAAGTGCATTACCTAAGTCAGACCCCAGAGAAAATAGAAGGCAAAACTGTAGTGAAGTTAATTGTGTATGTTTCTTCCACTCTGGATGTCCTTCTACAAACCACCCATGCTGATATAAAGGAAATAAAGGCCTAATGTATATTTATTTTGAAAGTCAGATTTGAGTCTATAAACTACTCTATTACTGAAGACTATTGAAAATGTGCTGTACTTTTAAAATACAGCAGTTATTATACTAGAGAAAATTAAACAGTAATTTAAATGCAGATACTGCCTTCTTTTAAAATGTAATTACTAACAAATCTATAACACAGACAACAAAACACCATATTTAGATCACTTAGTAATGCAAAACTGCAAATCTACACAAGAAAAACAATTCAGCTGTCAGGATAAAAAATGAGGGAATTACACAAAAATTTCAATGATTGCAACATTTGTAACAAAAGTATCAAAACGGAAACATTATTTGAATCATTAGCTGTCAGAAGGAAGCACAGAGTGTCTGCTTTGTTACGGAAAGTAAGTTCATTTAAAGTTTCCAGCAACTTAAGCAGCCCTAAATACTTCAATACTTCGGAAAGGTCAGAAGAACTACTCACGAGACTGAGTGGGTTAAATTTCAAAGACCACTTCCCTCATGTAAATGTTGATTAAAACTGTGAAGAGGTACTACAATGCTATGGAGTAGTAAAAAAAGAACAAACAAACCAACCAACCAACCAACAAAAAAAGTTGGTGACAGTTTGCAGTTACCGATTCGTTAGAATCCATGCAAAACAACCAAGAAAACTCTGCAATAACAGCAACATCCAAGCTGGAATTTTGATAGGAAAAAAAACTCAGCAATTGAATCAAATGAATCCTTATACTCTCAGAATATATACCTTTCATACATTCACAATTTTTTCCATGTTGCTCCTAATTTGCAATATTTTGACATATAGTTTGTAGCATATGTGTATAGAAAACAAATTCTGTATTTCTTTTTCTACTTTTTCTGGACACAAAACAAGGGAACTAACAAAATCTGAAACTGAAAGACAACAAAACTGACAAAATGTATTTCTGGTGTAAGATTTATCTTACAGTTTCCCATGCAATATTTAGTGCAAAGTTTAGACCTAGTCTCCATTTGACATTTTGGCACTGTGCAATGAAACTGACTACTGATTTATTTTATTATTTTTTTATTTATTTTGCAATTAAAAATATCTTCCGTAAAGGTCACAAAAATATTCACTAAAAGCTCTGGACTTTACTTTTAACCTCACTTCCACAGGTGGCTTTGGTTGATGGGCATACAGAAATGCAGAAAAATAAACAAAAATATGCATTTAGTGTTTGCCTCATGATGTACAATGTGGTATATGTAAAATTTTCCTAAGAAAGGATGTTCTTTGATGTTTGATCTTTGTATATTTTGAAGCCTAAGCATCAAGAAAGGAGATTTAATCCATAAAACAGAGAGTAGCTAACTAGTTCTAACTGCTGCCCAGGTGTTAGAAAAGCAAATTACTTGTTGGTAGAATTGCGTTGTTAAGACTTAGGGTTCACATGCTTCAGTGATCTCAGACCTAGGGGGAGTTAATAAAGCTTGGAAAGAAGGATGTATCACTGATAGTAGATACAAAGAATTTAGGGGCCACAAGGAGTTTTGGCAGAACTCCAAAGATAAGGAAGAAAGTAACAAAGCCAACTCAGCAATTGTCCTGAATCCACTCCGACTGGATAACAGGCAATTTTGGCAACGGGAGAGCGTGACCACCGATTCACAGCCACAGACCCAAGTAACCCATCCACCTAAAAGGAGCAGGAGACTGTGCGTGTGGACTACTTAGCATGAGAAGCGATGGAACCATTAACCAGTGGAAGACAGGATACGAATTAATAAGACTACTATAATTTGCAACAAATGAACACTAATTCCTTTGTTTGCTAAAATACATAAAAAGTGAAAAAGTTTTGGTAGTTTGTGTGCTCGATTTGTGGAACTCCACTGGGCACCCAGCCTTGCACAACTCTGAAATAAACAACCAGTGTCTCTCTCGAGTGTGCAATTGTTGGCTTGTTGCACACCGGGTAACGAATCTGATTTCTGTGGACAACACTCAAGAGGGCAGGAGCGGGGTTTGTACCAAAAGCCAAGGAATTGGCGTGATCAGACAGTGCTCCGAGGCACTGGCGCCAGGAGGCAGCGCCTTGTGAATGAGCATCACTCGCCCTCAGGCCATTCACTTTCTGCCTCTAGTTACCGGCTCTTACTTAATCCGCCTGAAACGGTTCTGAAAAATTTAGTGATGAAAGAAATTAAGATTTAAAATCATCCAATCGAGGAAATATCGGGCTCCGCCCGCAGCCGCGCGGCCCCAGCGCCGCCGGGCCCAGCCCCGCTCCCGCCCCGCCCGGCGGGACACGGCCCCGCGGGCCCCCGAGCCTCGCCAACCTTCAGGTGCAGCTTCTGGAGGAGGCGGGACAGCAGCCGCGGGAACCGGCCCGAGTCCACGGCGTTGAGCAGCGACACGGCCCTGCGGATGCTGCGAGGAAGGAGAGGGGGCGGTCAGAGGGGCCCTGGCTCCGCTGCGCCCCGGCACCGCGGCGGGACCCTGCCCTACCCTGCCCCGCCCTGCCCTACACTGCCCCACCCTGCCCTGCCCTGCCCTGCCCTGCCCCGTCCTGCCCATCCCCGCCCGGCCCGCCCGGCCCGGGGCAGCCGCAGCGCCAGTACCTGTCGCTCTCCGGCACTACGGGCGCCGCCATGGCTGCGGAGCCTGCCCGCCCCCGACGGCGGCCCGGCGGGGCCAAGCGCCGCCGCTCCGCTCGCAGCGAGAGCAGCGTGAACCTACGGAATCACGGAATTGGTTAGGTCGGAAAAGACCTCTGCGATCACTGAGTCCAACCTGTGGCCGAGCACCACCTTGTCAACTAGACCATGGCATTAAGTGCCGCGTCCAGCTCCTTAAACACCTCCGGGGCGCTGACTCCACCACCTACTTGGGCAGCCCATTCCAAAGCCCTTTCTGTGGAGAAATTCCTCCCGATGTCCAGCTGAAAACTCCCCTGGCGCAGCTTGAGGCTCTGTCCTCTCGTCCTGTCCCTGGTTGCCCATGGCCACCTGCTGGCTGCACTTCCTGCACGGCTCTGCAGGATCTCCGCTCTGGAAAGGCTGTGGCTGGAATTCCGCTCTGGATGGTTTCAGGCCGTGGTGGTGCCCAGCGGCAGGGAACACCGTGCTCTGTTTCCCTGCCCTACACGTGTAGCCAGCGCTCATCCATGAGTCACATCCCCGAGGTCCACGCTGTGTGGAACTCCTCAGGCTCCACGGGGACATTTTGTTCCCGTGTGGGAGTGGATAGAGAGCCCCAAAACACCTGTCATCGCGATTCTTTTCTTGTCATAGCAAGTTGCCGCCCTTTCTATAACAGCAAATTGTTCCAGAGCCCATGGAACCTACAGCAGCTGGCTGAGTTCCCGTCTATCCCAAACCACCTGTGCCCAGGTACCCACACCCAGAGTGCCACCCTGTCCCATGCCATTTAACTCCCCTTGTAAGGCACAGAGCACACTGTACCTTGTTTCAGGCCAAGTACAAGATTGTTAAGTCACATGAAGAGAACCATTAACTTTCAAGCCCCAGGGGGAAGCATCACTGGATTGTGTGTTTGTACCTCAAGGGTATTACATCGAATGGATGCAATGACTATGAGACCTCTAGTTTCCATCAGATGTGGCTGAAACTGAAAAATGTGAATGAGTACAAAGAGGAACAGGCAGTATGGCTGTATAAACCTTGTTTTCCTGGGAAATCAACAGAAAATTTTAATAATCTTCAAAAGATTTTGAATGTGGCTGTAAGGGTTTTTAAGGTGTGTCATGAAGGGTTAGTTGTATGGTAATAAATTACGGTAGGCTCAAGAGACAGCTAGGAAAAGGTTGGAATTTTTTGAGGGTACTGTGAAGAAATGTTTTATAAACATATATTCTGAAATCTTGTCTGTCTTGAACTGAAGGGAATTTAGTCACTAGGGTCAATTTCAATATCGTCAGCATTTCAGCTAGGACATCTGAAAAGATAATATCTGTTTAAATACATTTGGTCTTAAGAAGCACTTTGGGGGGAGGGATGTGGAAGTGACAAGCCTGGCTGTACTCCAACAGGAATTTTAAAGTAAAGAATTCCTGGCTGAGACTTAACAGCATTTGTGCTATACCTCTGACCAGAAGTTGGGCTCATAGTCTCTGCTATAAATAGCAGTTCCATTTTCCAAGCTATTGTTCTGGAATGAAACCCAATTATATTCAACTATAACATCTGGTTTTCTGCACTCTTATAAAACATAAAAAAACCCCAATTTTCTTGCAAGAAATTCACTTGGCTGGAAAAGAGTGTTTTGCTTCACGCTGGGAAAAAAAAAAAAAAAAGGAGTAACTTCTTGTTCTAGGAAATCTCCCCCGAGAGCAGAATTTTTTTCAGTTCATTCAGGCAAAATGGCCAAGGACAGCTGGAAGTCTAGCAAATTGCTTACTTATTTTATAAAGTTCCAGCTGATACAGGTATTGGATGCGCCACTCATGTTTGCTGCCAATTCTCTCATTTTATAATCTGGACCTATTTTAAAATGTTTTCTTTCATGTTTTGCTGCATCAAATGAATATTCAAAATAGATAATCAAAACAACAAATATTAAGAACACGTTTGAGCAGGATCCTGAGCAACCTGCTCCAGCTGGACCTGCTTCGCAAAGGAGGTTTGACTTGAGATCTCTGGAGGCTTCTTCCATCCTTTATGACTCTGTGTTCAGGGACTCACTGAAAAAGACAGAAAGAGAGAACCTAATGGGAAATAATAAATAATTAAGCTGACCTGACAAGGTGCTGTCAAGAGCAAAATTAAATAATTTTTTTCCTAATACCTTTTCTGTTCCTGAAAAAGAATTATAAAAAGTTGTTCCTTCTCATGCATCCATTCACCTATTATTGGTTTGCATTCGTATTCATGACCCACTTTTCCAATGTGAAGGTTTTTTTCAGCGAGCTTATAATACTACACAATGTATTTTATCAATTGTTTTAACTATCCATCTAGATAAGACATATTTTGACTCAAAGTGTTCCACTTGACATGCAGATGGATGTTGTATGGGCTTTTGGATTAGTCTGCTCACAACCCATGACAAAATGTTAGGCGTCAGGGAGTGACACTTCAGAGCATTTACCTGCTGCTGAATGTTAGTAATCTTGCTGCCTTACAATAGTCTGGAAAAGCTCAGTTTTCCCTGCTTTGCATTTCTAGGACTTGAAGTATATATTCTGTTTTTTCACTGTTTTGTCTGTGCTTAAGCTTTTTTCTGTCATTTTTATCCCTGTAATTTTTCCTTTCTTTTGAAGCTGCACACAAAAGAACATGTTGAACTTCTTCAGGCTCTGATTTGTACAATATCCCTGGCAATGTGTAACAACTAATTAGTTGTCCTACAACTCAGTGAAAATAAACCAGTAATGTTTCATGTAAATTTTCGCTTGTGGCCTCCAAGTGTCTTAAGCTATTGAAGTTAGCAAACCATAAATTTGTGTGGCAGGAATTGATCTGAGCCTTTTATCTAGTACTAAATAACTCAACTTCTGAAATATTATTGAAAAAAGTTGTTTGTTTTTTTTGGTTTTCTTTTCTTGTAATGTGAGTTCTAAGTGTTTCAGTTAAATTACCTCTATCAGAAACAAATACTCCTCTGTTACTGTTTGTGACTTTTACCATTATGAAACAATCTGTCATTATTTGTGTTTGCAGAATGTAATCTCATTAAAATCAACTGGGACTATTTGGATTCTGCTTGGAAAGAGAATGGGCAGGGAACTCTTAGTTTATTGGTTCTGCATGCTGGTTCATTGTTTCCTATTTTTGCAGTTGTATGTGAACATTTACCAGTCATGTGAAGGTCATCAGTTTATCTGGGTGATGCAGCTCTTCACGATAGAAATCGGGGCTGCATAGCCTGTGCTAATAAAAGGCATCTGTGAGCACAGAGAAAATTCATTTGTGGACAACAGGCCTTAATGTATGCCATTCTGACACAAACAGATAAGATCCTATAAGGAACCAGCATTCACACCTTTGCACTTGTGTAGTGTTAGAAGCAGGTCAGTACTTCACAGAGCCAGGCTGATGAAGAAGAGGTGCATTACCCTCTGCAAATAATAAGAGAGGAAATCTTTATATGGTTAATGAAATGCAAGTATAACATTCTATCTAACATTCAGAGTTTCAGTTGGCTCAGACTTGATATCTCAGTTTCCCAATAGGGTGGGATGAAACAAAATAGCCCACTGAAGCATGCATAATTTGTTTTAAAATGTTTGGATATCATGAGTCATGTGTCAAAGGAAAAACTACAGTCAATATTGTTATCATTGGCTAAGAAACTCACAGAATAACGGAACTGTCAGGGATTGAAGGGACCTCTGGAGATCATCCAGTCCAGCTGCCCTGCTGAGGCAGGGCCATCTAGAGCAGGTGGCGGAGGAACCCATCCAGGTGGATTTTGAAAGTCTGCAGAGAAGGAGATGCCACGACCTCCCTAGGAAGCCTGTTCCAGTGCTCTGCCACCCTCAATGTAAATATATTTTTCCTCATGTTGAGATGAAATTTCTTGCATTTTAGTTTATGTCCATTGCTCTTCCTCCTGTTTCTGGGCACCACTGAAAAGAGTCTGGCACTATCCGCTTGGCATCTACCCTTGAGATATTTATATGCATTAATGAGATCCCCTCTCAGTCTTCTCTAGAATAAACAGGTCCAGCTTTTGCAGTCTCTCCTCATAAGCGAGATGCTCCTCATCATCTTTGTGGCCTCTGCTGGACCCTCTCCTTTACCTCCCTGTCTTTCTTGTACTGAGGAGTGCAGAACTGAATACAGCACTCCAGATGAGTCCTCACTAAGGTTGACTAGAGGGGGAAGGATCACCTCCCTCAACCTACTGCCTGACTCTTCCTGATGTACCCAAGGATACCATTGGCCCCTTGGCCACAAGGGCACACTACTGGCTCATGGTCAACTTATCACCCACCAAGACTCCTGGGTCCCTCTCTGCAGAGCTGCCCTCTAATAGACTTGCCCCCACAACTTGTGCTGGTATTTGGAGTTATTCCTCCCCAGGTGGAGGACTCTACATTTGCCCTTGTTGAACCACATTAGGTTTCTCTATGCCCAGTTCTCCAGCCTACCAAGGTCCCACTGAGGCTGCACAGCTTTCAGGTGTATCAGTCACTCCCCCCTGTTTTGTATCTTCAGCAACCTTGCTTAGGGTACATTCTACTACTTCATCCAGGTTGTTCACCAAACAAGCTGAGTAAGACCATTGATTCCTGGGGAACACCACTGACTACAGGCCTCCGATTGGTTTCTATTCCACTGTCATGAGCCTCTGAGCTCTACCATTAAGCCAGTTCTTGATCCACCTCATCTGTCCATTTAACCCACATTTCCTGAGGTTACCTACAAGGATGTTATGGGAGACAGTGTCAAACGCCTTGCTGAAGCTGAGGTAGACTGCTCTCCTCGCATCAACCCATCCTGCCACACCAACTCAACAGAGCTGCAGCAACTGTAATGCATTTGGTGTAAAAGTTTGTTTAAGGATATTTGAATATTTATTCAGAAGGTATAGATCTATATTTCTTTAGTCCATCTCTTTTGGTTTTCCCCTTGAAGTGAATCAAATCTGTATTCTACCCTGATATAGACAGATAAAGTTCAATTGTGCTCTAACAGGAGGTGTTTAAAAGGATCACAGAAATTGTCTGGAAAAGAGTTCAAAGTGTATTTTTTTTTAACATTGTAATGATGCAGGGGGATTGAATGGTACCTCGCCATATGCAGAAGTCCATTTTAAGCCAGGAGGAACTGTTTAGTGGTTTGGGGCTGTGACTGGATTTCTGGAACCACAGATCTGACTTCTCCCAGGACTGATCATTCTTTGTTGTTTTTAAAGCACTGAAGGTAAAATAAATCATGTGATTTACTGGAGTTCCCAAACATTAAGTCCCATTTGGACAGGAATCCCCTAACACTTTTCATATAAAATTTGGGAACTTCGGGAAAAATTATTTCCATTTCCTGCCTGTTTTATAGATCTATTGTATTCCTAGTATGTGTCTCAGAAGTAATGAACGTTATACAAATGTTATACAATTTTTAATTGTGGAACATTTAATGAAGGATTTGTAAACGCTGAGCAAGAGAAAAATCAGCATAATTTTACCCATTTATTAGCACAGAAACAGAGGTAGGTAAGGGAGTAGGGGCCTTGCTACAGCTGGCTAGCTAGTCAGCCTTGTGCCCCAGTACAGCTTCGGTCTGCCTTGTTCAGAACTCCCAATGCTTAATTCATCTGATAAAGCCTTGGATGTCTGCAGTCTTTAGCAAACCTTCACATCTTAAAAGTCATAATATTTAATGACCCTTAAGGGTCCTTGCCCTTTACCTCTTCTGAGCCCCATGCTAATCATTTTATTAGTATTTCCTTTAAATTGTCCATTGTTTTAGAAGTACCCAATGCAATATGAAGCAACAGGTATTGTCATTTTTTCCTCAAAGCTGTGTCAACTTCAGATACAGAAAAGTACTGACAAATTATTTAATAAAGAGTGTCTTCACTGGATGACTTTCCGGCTCAAAGCCCAACTCAGGGCAATGAAGGCAAATAACAAAATGCTGTGCATAGCTCTTACTTTATTTTCTGAGTTTTCAGTTTGTAAATAGCAGGAGATGCACAGTGGAGTCTTTGGAATCAAAAGGATTCCAAAAAGACAACGTCTAAGCACATAGGAGCCTAGTAGGGGAAGAACCATCTTTATCTGCATAAAAAACCCCACAGGTGGGAGTACACTATTCATTTCCATGAAATTGACTCCTTTGTAGTAATAACATCTAATAAAGCAAAGGGTGAATATCTCCTTCCAGATAAACAGTGATTGTAAGCAAGGCAAAGACAGTGGAAGACACAATGAATTCACATTAAACAAACCTAATCAATTTTTAGGGAAGAGACTTAGTGATAGTATCTTAGCTAGGGAGTAGTTTAATATTTATCTGTACTCTTATCATTCCTTAAGTCACAAAGGATCACTGGTAGCCATGAGCAAAACAGCCATGTGGACAAGGAAAAGACAGGCAAAGTAAATTCACAGCATCACAAACTGTTTAATCTGCGTAGTCTGGGGAGGGATAGAATGGGAAGAGAGAAAAGGACCAACAGACCTTACAGAATAGTTAATTGTTCTGATTCCCCCTATTTTAAACAGTTTTCTAAAGCAAACTTATTTCCTAGGGAAAATCATATTCTGTTTAGACTGATTTATAAGGTGAAAGAAGATCTGATGTCATCTGGAGCACAGCTAATTTCACAAGAGACTTTTCTCATAAGAGGCTTTATTTAAAACCACAATGTTGTGCACTGTGGCATTATGTAATTACCTAAAAACCTATCAGATATGGGCACTGTGTTGTTATTTATATCTACCAGTAACTTTCACAGTCCACATACAATTATGTATAACATGTTTTTTTCTTCCCCATTTATAGCTGCCTTAGTAGGGATTATACTCATGCACTATTAATGTGCACTTGTGCATTTGTGCACTGAGAAAATAGTCAGTAGGATCATTGCAACAACTGAGTCATTCTCAAACCACAGAAGAACTGCCTCTGCAGCATCCTTTTATTTCATTATGTTTACCTTGGCTCTCACCTTTGTTTTTTTCAGGTTTTGTTCTCTATTTTCAAGGTTGCACTAAGTGTGTTTGTGATGGAGTCCTCTTATACTTTGCATTTAGCTGTAACTGAGTCACAGTTCCTTTTAAAAACCACAAAGTAACACAAATTAATTCAGTGATGGGAGATACATCAATCTAGGTTTCACCACATTACTCAAGAAATGTAACATCTAGCCCTAACACAGGAATCCTCATGAGAGACTATTTAGGTTTTTGCCTTTAAGTAGAAAGAAAGAGAAACTAATTCAGACCTGTCCATTTCAGATCTTGAAGTTACATCAAAGGAAGGTTGCCCTCTTCCTGTTGATTTAAATCAACTTCATCTTCTTGAAGAGCTGTTTATTCCATCAAGTCCAGAATGAGTCTATGGCACATCTGGAACAAGAAACCAATTCCTAACTCCCAACTCATTGGCAGGATTTCCACCTACCTTAAGAATTATAGCTCAGAGATGATGTGGGCCATCTGAACTCCTGGTAGAAATCAAAGGATAGTTTGAGACCAGTGAAGTGTATGAGACAACATCACAGGATCCAACTACCAAATGAAATGTTTTAACCACTATAGAAGATATTCCTGTGTGGGTTTTTTGTTTTGTTTGGATTTTTGTTTGTTTTGGTTTGGTTTTTGTACAATGTGTTTTCATAGAATCACAGAATTGTTTAGGTTGGAAAATGTCTGACTATCAATGAAGAAATTTTTCCTACTATCCAATTTAACCTCCCTTGCTGCAACTTGAGACCATTTCCTTTTTCCCTATCTTGTTACCTGGAAGAAGAGGCTGACCCTCCCCTAGTCACTACCTCCTTTCAGGTAGTTGAAGAAAGTGATAAGGTCTGCCTCGAGATTCCTTTTCTCCAGTCTAAACAGTCCCAGCTCCCTCAGCTACTCCTCATCAGACTTGTGCTCGAGTCCCTTCACCAGACCTTGCCCTTCTCTAGACAAGGTCCAAATCTCAGCGTCTTTCTTTTAGTAAGGGGCCCAAAACTGGACACAGGACTCAAGGAGTGCCTTCAGTAGTGCTCAGTACAAGAGGATGGTCACTTCCTTGGTCCTGCTGGTCACACTATTGCTGGTACAAACCAGGATGCCCTTGGCCTTCTTGGCTCATGTTCAGCTGGCTGTCAGCCTGCAACCCCAGGTTCTTTCCTGCCAGGCAGCTTTCCAGGCACTCTTTCCCAAACTTGTGGCACTATATGGGGTTGTTGTTGCCTTGGAGCTGGAGGTCTTTGTCCACAGAGAATGGTCTCTTGAAAGGGAGCAAAGTGTTGCCACATTCAGAGTTGGGAGAGTCTCCTCAAGAATAGGCAGCACTAGACCTAAGAAATGATTCCCCTCCTAGCAGCATGCTCCTGGAAATCACTTGCAACAATCTGAAGCTTTCTCCCCTTCAAGATCCAAAGGGACCTCCACTCCTCAAAAAGGGTGTGGGTGCCCATCATGAATGCGAACATCTACCTCATAGGACAACTGAGCGTAAGTTATGCTATTTAAAATCTGTCATGTTTTGCATGGAGAGGAAACTCCTGGAATTGAAGAGACTTTTCTGTCCAGAAGGAAAGATAACCTGTTTAGCTGTACTATACTGACTGGTAAAGGCTTAATGCGCCAAACGCTGTAAAAAAAACAAATGCTGACTGAACGTGTTGGTTTCAGTCTTCTAGCCTGGGCAGCAAGAAAGGACTGCAGTTGTTTCCAGTCTCCTTTGCTTTAGATACGGAGGAACATGGAAAGTAGTGACCAAGTTTCAAAGAACAGTAGTACCTCAAATGACTCCTGCCTCATGTATACAAGGCATGAGTGCATCAGAAGGAAAGGACACTCAGACTAGTCTTCACAAAAGAAAGAGCTGTGTCACACCTCTGAGTAAACAAACAAGTAGAGAAATCAGCAGAAAAACCCTCATTATAAGTAATGTGGTTCATCTTCGCAGGTTAAGAAGATTATCTTTCCACAGCAGTCCCGACACCTTTAGTTTTAGAAAGTCAAGATTTAGAAAGGACTGACTGGGTGCCTCAGTAAAGCTCACAAAGATGAGGAGAATTGAACACATACTTGTACTCCATGGGGAGTTTGCTAGGTTGGTAGCAATAAGAATACCATTGCCAGGTACTTGACTAGAGATAATTCATAAAACCAAGACCTACTTTAATAAAACATGAAGAAAAAAGAACATTGCTCAGGCACAAAAACTAACAGAATATGATCAGTCAGGGACAAAAAATGGCAGGACACTGATCACATTCCCATCTTCAGTTTCAATTGTATCATAAACCCATTTTCTATTGCAGCGACATTCTGGTCCACATTTGTTTGAATTGCATTTGGGGCAAGGATAGAAGCAACCCAGGCAGTCCATTTCCAGGCAATCACACAAATCAGTGTCATTACAAAGCAGCCTGCCGTGTTTGTCATACTTCTTTGTAAACCTGTGAGAAAGAACAAAAAGTGATTCTCAGAGAATGTTTCAACATGTTCAGAGACTAAACAAAAAAAATGTGGATAACATCTGAACAGGAACAAGTATTTACTCTTTAACAACCTCACAGCATAAGGAAATACCAGCACTATATCCTAATTGCAACAACCATTAGTATTAAAAAAAGACAAAGAAGTATATAAAATTTTTCTTAAATCACACAGAAAAATCCTGTATTCCCAACACAGCTTTCATGTGTAATAAGAAATCTCTCTGCAAAATATTAATTCTTTGATTAATTTCATTTAGATTCAGTAAACAGCATATTAGCCCTCTTTTAAAGTAAAGTATATAATAAATTAGCAATCTTACTTGGACTCATAAAAAATATTTTGCTTCATCTGTGACATGCATGCTTTCTTTTTCTGCTGCCTAGTTTCAGGGTTGAAGTCAGCTACCTGAGGTCCTGGATTTTGAAAGGCTAAGTATTTTAATTGTTTCTCAAGTTTTTGCTATAAATAAACAACAGAAAATTTGTAATCAGTACAAAAGAAAAATACATTTATTAACTACCAAATGTCCTCACTGGCTTTTGAGTAAAATTAAAATTAATATACTTAACAATGTACACAAGTAGGAAAAAGAAGCAACTAAGACCATATTGTTTAAAATGTTTGCTTGGCTAACTGTTAATTGAGTATTCCTTTTACCGACTGTGCATCCTGACAGGAGATGGAACAACCATGACTCTGAATACATGACTCTGGTACAGTGGCATGGACTTTGCAAGTTGTCTTGTGAGAGGCAGAATTATATATTTTGTTCTTCAACTTCATCTATAATGTAAAAACAAGTACTATGATTATAAGCATCTCAAATTGATTCATTCTTATCTTCACTGTTCCATCAGATGCCTAGAAACCATCTTTGTTCAAACAGTTTGGTGGCAAGGAAAATGACTAAAGAGGTAAGGAAGCATTTGTGGAGGAGAGAAGTATGGGGAAAAAAACTCACACAACCCCCCCCAAAACCCAAACCAACCAAACAAAAAAACCCCACAGCATAGTTTTCTGAGGAATAGCAGGAAGCATTTTCCCACCAATTTTAGGGACTTTATGTTTGAAATTAGCTAACACTGGTGAATACTTCTGGAAGTTAAAACATTGTATCTACATATTACTATTCCACATACCTCATGTACGTTTGCAGTTGTGCCTAAGGAAACAATTTCCCTTTGGACAATGACTGTGGACTTTGACCATACATTTGCCATTATGTAAAGGCACAAAAATACATACAAATTTATCTTTTCTCCTCTTAGGTAAGTGCAGTTGCTTTGCCATCTCTCAGCTGCCCTGGAAGGTATCATTCCTTCCGGAGCCCACAGTGATTTTCCACAAACAGCTGAGCACTTTCATTGCTTCTCATGTGGAAAGAAGTGGCAGTTCAGTTCAATATGCTGATTTAGAATATCTGTGCACTTGAGTGCACTTGTTTTTGAGGTGGTTGATGCTGTGCACCTTCAGTTGCACACTCTGGAAAACCTACAGAGCAATCTCATGTACCTGCATTGTTCAGACAGTTACGCTTTGGAGTCCTGGGTAGATTTTCAGCATCATTATGGTCATTGCATGGCCATAAATTATGCAATTTTAAGTTAGAAACAAATAATAAGATATAAAGATAGTCATCCCTCTAAGATTATTCTCCTATTTCCCTAGTTACAGTTTCATTTGAGCTTAAAAGTGCTCTTAGACCTTTGAATCACTGCACTGCACACTTGATTTATTTCACTGTTGTTATTACTGATATTTCCCTCTTAACCAGCTTTCAATTTTTGCAATGATTGAAGAAATTGAAGGCAATGATCCATATCTTGATAATAAAACTGTACTGGAGAAGTCATACCAGTTTTTTCTGTCCTATTGAGCAGTCCTTAGCAGGAGAGACATTTTCTTCTGCAGGTGTTTCCTGGGAAGGATAGCTTTCCTTGCAGTTCTCTTCCACAAGATCGCTCATTTGACCACCCTTGTGAAATAAGCACATATGTGTGTTAGACATATACAACAGTATACACAGACTTGGAATTGAAGGTTATAAGGCAAGCAGGTGATATCCATACTATGCTTTTATGTATTATTACCAGCAGTAAATTCAGAACAAAATGTGGCTCGGTAACAGCCTGTATTTTAAAACCGTACTAAGATAATATAACGAGCATATGCAGAAGTTGTAACACCCAAACCACTCCGTAATCCGTTAAGCAAATGTCGGGAACCCCCTAGCGTTTAAATAACCCAAAAATAGGAGGGATGTTGCCCTGTGTCTCCGCCGGGGGGTGCGGAGCTGTGTCCGCACGGAGCGCACGGCGGGAGTGCCGCGGGGCCAGCAGTGCCCGCGCTCACCAGCAGGTGACACTGCGGGGCCGCGTCCAAAGCAACCAGGCTTCCCGACGGGCTCGGTTTTCTCCCTGAAGATTTCAACTAGCAGACCAAAAGCAAGCTTTTAAATCTTGGCTTTTAAATCTCAGTCCTTAGCTTCGCGAAACATCTATTTTTTTTATTTTCATTAAAAAAAAAAAAAAAAAAAAAAAAGAGGGGGGAGTAACTTGTAGAATAGAAAAAAAAAGTGCATTACTCTGCTTACAGTGTACGCAGGGAGGACTACGGGTTCTGGGAGTCTATCCTGCAAATGTCATCCATCACCTCTCTGCTGTCAACACAGAAATGGTGGTAGCAGCTGCTCAGGATGGATGATACCTACTTCTTTTTACCCACCTTGTGAACATAGTTAGTTAAAAGGTTTTATGTAAAATATGCAGTTCCAGTGCCCTAGACTTTAACCACAAACACAACCAGAAATATTTAAGATTTTTGGAGTTTGTCCAACTCTTCCCTAGTTGCTGCCCAGTTTCTCCCATTACCTCTGAAAGGTAGCACAGTGGTCTCTGTCAGTTTACCCTGCACTTCAGGACTGCTGTCCACACCCTGTCCCAAAGGTCTTCATTTCACCACTGTCAAAGGGCCAATACCTCTCTAAGAGGAGTCCAAGCTTTAAGCTTCTGTTGCAGCCACTTTCTACAGGGCAACAGTCAAAGTGGGAATAGGAATGAGAAGGAAGAGATCTTGTGCTAACAGGAGGGAATTTTTTTTTAAGAGGTGATAAGGACAGCCTTCAGCCTGTTTTGGACAGGGTTTCCCTTTTTCCTCTTCCATGACCTGAAGAATGACAGATATGGCACCATTCACAATGGGATGCTCTATGACATCACTTTTAGTCCTGGGACTTGGGTATCATTTCAGAACTAGAAAAACAAATCTATTACCAGGCAGTTAATATTTGCTGTATGGGGGAGCTACATTCCTATTGGAAATTTGCTAGGGGTCCATAAATGAAACAAGAATGAAGGGCATCGCTCCAGAGAAGGTGAGTATTGCTCTTTATTGCACCCAAGTTGAAGTCCTGGTAAGGGTTTGCTTCCTACATCTCCTGTTGTGTCCAACCATATGTTGTTAAAGCACTTTATGAGTATGCATGATCATCATCCATGCCTGTTTCATTAGAGTATGCAGAGTTCAGGAGCAGAACAGCCACCAGCAGCTACCAGTGTAAGCAGGCAGAATTCTTGCATGTCCTCTGGTGGTGTAAAAATGTGACTCCTTTGACAACTAGGTTCTAGTAGCTACCTGGAACCAAATACCCAAAACCAGAGGCCTCATTTTAAATACTGGCAAAAAAGAACAAGTATCATTTTCCAAAGATACGTTTCCAATGCCCTTGCACCTCAGAAAAAATACCCTACACGGAGAATGTAGCACATTTCTGTCTCCATATATACTGTAAACATATAGTGTTGAATTTTAATCACAGGAACGATACTAAAAAATGAAGTAGAATATGACTAGAATAGTGTGCAAATTTCAGAAATTAGTGAGACTCATAGACTAATTACCTTCCATAGTGTGCTCTGAAGGGGGATAGGGAAGTGAGGGAGACTCAGACATCACTATCACGTTCACAGAACTGATTATGCAAGGGAAAATATTCTTGGTCCTGAAACAGAGGATTTTTTTCTACTGCTTTAGGTTTGACTGTAGTGATAATCCGAGGCAATGCATTTAATAGTCCTCTCTTCCATAATAATTTTAACTCTTGAGGACAAGCATCAATTGCACTCTTCCTCCACCAAAACCTGTGCTCTCCCACGCTTTTAGCATACAGCAAGTACTTCCTGGAGCTGATCATCCACAGCTCAATATCCCACTGTGGCCACAGCATATGGCTAAGAACTGGCAATTTCAACAGAGCCTTGAAATAGCTGAGAAGGCTAAAAGCAGATTAAGGAAGGAAGAAATCAGAATCTGTGCTATATTAAAAGAGTCTTACCCATGACACAGATGTTTCTGCTCAGAGAACAGATTCAGAAGATGTTAGGATTTGGAAGGAACTGCATTTGTTTATGATTCTCACAAAAGAAATATTTTCCTGTATCTGCTCTTTCAAGAATTTAATATTCTATGTATGATCCTTGCAGATTACACAGCTAAATATTTCAGCTGATGAGTGGATCCTTTCCAACACAGAACATCCTGGGAAATCTGGGAAATCTGAAATGTGGTGACTGGCATACCAGACACTTCAATCTGCTTGATACCAGCAGCCTTAAACTAGTGTCTCTGCAGGGCTTGAGAGAGTGAATGCACATTTTTTCAAGTTGTATTTGTTTGTGCCATTGGAGAAGTCCCATCCGAGATATGAAAGCAAGTTCATCACCTTCACCAGTGCAAGATAAGACATTGTCCCTATGGCTTTACCCCCTGTATTCCCACACGGATTAAACTGACCTATTGCAGCAGTCCCATCAGTCTAGTTCTGCAGAGATGTCTGTGAGCTCAGGAACCAGCACTCAGGTTTGTGGTACATTCAAGTACACATCTTAGAATTTCTATAGGCCATCTCGTGCCACTCAGACTAAGAATGGGAACAAATTAATCCTTCTTAGGATCAACGAAGCTGCAAAGGCATGGAAAGATCATTAACCATCTAGTCTGTGCCTTCTCTCAAGCCCCAAATGTGCATGTATGCTCAGAAGAGAGCCCTGAAGTGAACTAGAAAATGCAGATTAGATGAAGAAATAGGTCTCATCCCTTTTAACTCAGCTGGTTTCCCAGAAAACTGACAAACCTGGTGACAGAGCAATTGCCCATTGTGTGACAGGATCCAGAGAAGCAAATACACCCCTCTCCCAGTGCAATAAAACAAATTCTCATGAGGTTCTCCCTCTCAAAACCAGAGACTTTCTGCTGCATCTAAAAGCGAAGGATCCTCTAGCTGAAGTATAAGAGTTAATTATAAAATCATGTTCATCTTCTGGTTGTCATGCAAGAGGCAGAAGAGACCTGCCAGACTTACCTTCTGAAAACCTGCAGTTTTGGAGGGTGTATGTTCAATTCAGAGCAGACAATATGAGAGAAAGGAGGTTCTCCATAATTTTAAACTGTACTTACCAAGGAGAGGGGATGGCACAATGTAGATTTACTGCTGCACAATTCCTCTGATAGTGGAAGTATGACATCAGCCCCAGAGTGACTGAAACAGAAGACAAATAATCAAACTAGAGGTCCCTAGAGAAGTAGGCTGAAGTCAGTGCCAGGTAACTGTCTTATAGGACCTCACAGTTTCTGTCTCATTAACTGTGGCTTTTAAATAGTACTTAGCACAAAAAATAGAAATAGAGAAATTCTATAAACTGGAATGACAGTCCTCATTTCTCATTTGCATCTGTGAACAACAGGTGCTTTTTTTTTTTGAAGCTTTTTTTTCTTAGACCTTTTTTTTTCCCCTTAAAGCTAAGTAAACAAAAAAACAGTAATAAACTACTGCATTTTTTTAATTGAAAGGTGTTTTTTAAATGGAGATATTTGTAGAACCTGGATGCAGTAAAGAAATGTTTTACCATTTTAGACAATGGTAATTGTTTAAATTACCATTGGATTCTAATTCTGGATTCTATTCATTGTTTCCAAAAGTCAGTACATAAACCTGCTCCCCAATAACTAAAGTGACAGGCAACCTCATGGTTCAGCTTGCTGCCTCTCAGGTTTATTTGTTGCACTAGTGCAGACAACTCAGTCTCCTCCTGATCCCTCTAGATGCCAATTTTCAGCACGCTACAACCACTAATGGCTCTCATTATGCTTCTCTAGAACACACCTATATCCTAATAAGCACCTAAAACTGTCAATTCATATAAATAGTCTAACATGGCTTTTTAATCTTCATAAGTTGTATCCACCGATTCTCTGAAGTATTTCCCAACTCAGTCTGAGGGCGAGAGATTTATTATTTACAATACTATTTTCTTTCCCTCCAAGCACTTTTAAAACCAAAAGCTGATGTAACATTCTAGCAACAGAATTTAGGTAGGTCATGTA